TATATTTTCCCCACGTGCTTTTGGAATCGAACCAGACACCTAAAAACTTGAAAGATATACTTTGAGTGATTGTTCTACCCTTTAGTTGAAGCTGTAACAGTGCAGGATGATGCTTCCTAGAAAAAACAACCAACTCAGTTTTCTCCGGAGAGAATTCGATACCCAGCTTCATAGCCCAAGTAGACAAATTGTCTAAGGTATCTTGCAATGGTCCTTGCAGGTCCGGTGCACTTGGCCCTATAACGGACACAACCCCGTCATCTGCAAGCTGCCTTAGCGAGCAATTTTCATCAAGACAACCATCAATGTCTTTTACATAAAAAATATAAAGAAGGGGGCTTAATTATAAAAAATATTATAAAAAATATAAACAAAGACAAAATTGTAAAAATAGCACTTAAGACAACAATTGTAAAACGGTCTACACTGATTGACGACAAATAATAAATAAATAATAAATAAATAAATAAACATGAACCCTGGGGGAGACTTATTCATGAAGTTGTAGAGTTTCCATGAGAAAAGCTCATATATTTCTCAGACAACAAGTTGCTCAAATAGTTGTTCATAATTGGTGAAAGCCCACTATCGTGGAGTTTATCCGAAAGGACATCGATACAAACAAAATCAAAAGCCCCTTAATGTCCAAGAAAACTGAACCCATTTGCTGTTTTTGCGCATAGGCCAGTTGAATTTCAGTTGAAAGCAACGCAAGACAGTTCCTTTGCCTCTCCGAAATCCAAATTGCGTTTCTGAAAGTAAACCATTCGACTCGACCCATTTGTCTAGACGAAAAAGAATCATTTTTTCCAACAATTTCCGTATACAGGACAGCACTAGGGACAGCATCGCGATGGGACGGTACGAGTTATAATCCGAAGCGGTTTTACCGGGTTTTCGAATGGCAATAACTCTTACTTGCCTCCAGTCGTCCGGAACAATGTTGTGCTCGAGAAATTGATTGAATAAGTTCAACAAGCGTCTCTTCGTGACGTCTGGGAGATTTTTAAGCAAGTTGAACTTGATTCTATCCATTCCTGGAGCTGAATTGTTACATGAAAGGAGAGCAAGTGAGAATTCCACCATCGAAAAAGGGGAATCTATTTCGGTATTACTCGACGGACGATCACGAACGTTGGTTTGAACCGACACCGGATCCGGGCAAACTTTCGGCGCGAATCTGAATATCCAACTGTCCGAATACTCCTTGTCTTCGTTAATCGGTGATGACGCGTTTCGCATTCTCCTGCCGACATTCCAGAGAGTTCTCATGGAAGTCTCTCGCGACAAACCATCGACGAACCGACGCCAGTAACCGCGTTTTTTGGCTTCAGTCAAGCCCTTAAATATTTTCTCGAGGTCGGTGTACAGCTCGAAATCCTCGACCTTACCGTGTTTGCGGAAGCGTTTAAACGCGGCGGACTTCTCGCTTTTCTTTCGGTGCATTCCTTATCCCACCACGGGGTGGGAGGTCGCTTGCGAACGGAAACACCCGGAATACGTTTCGTCTGTGCTCGCAGCGCACAATCGATGATGACATGCGCGAGAAAGGAGTACTCGTCCAGCGGAGGAAGTACGTCAACCGATTGACAGGCATCAAGAACCGCGGTCGCGAATTTTCGCCAGTCAATGTTTTTCGTAAGATCGTACGCGATGTCGACCGAGCGAGTAGAAGATGAACCATTGGTAATAGAAATTTTGATTGGCAAATGGTCACTACCGTAGGGATCTTGAATTACTTTCCACGAGCAATCCAACGATAGTGAACTCGAGCAAAGTGAGAGGTCTAATCTGCTTATTTTTGCTGGAGGTTTGGCTACTCGTGTTGCTTCCCCGGTGTTCAGAATTGTCATTTTGAAGAAGTCGCACATGTCGTATATCAAGGTTGAGCGGTTGTCGTCGTACAGTTCTCCCCAGCCTGTACCGTGAGTAGACAATGTTACTGCTAGAATTATGCAAGATTGCTTTCATGTCATTGGCAAGGCCTGAGTTCAATCCCAGTCGATGCCGTCGGAATTTTCTACGGCATAAAATCTTTGATCATTCCTTCCTTCGGAAGGGAAGTAAAGCCGTTGATAGTTGGATAGATAGAGTCCTGGTGTGGGAGCTGCTTAATTTTCCACTATATATTATGAAATTAGTTCAAAATTATTTAACTGACAGAACTCTGCAGGTAAATTATTAAAATTCTGTTAGAGCAGGAGTTCCTCAGGGTAGCATTCTTGTGCCTATATTGTATAATATTTTCACTTCAGATCTCCCTGATTTGCCTCAGGGTTGCCATAAATCTTTGTTCGCTGATGACACAGGCATTTCCGCTAAAGGAAGAAAAGTTCGTGTTATTTACAGCAGACTGCAGAAAAGTTTAGATATTTTCTCTTCTTATTCACAAAAATGGAAGATTTATCCCAAGGTTTCAAAACTCAACTTATAATATTTCCACATAGGCCTAGAGCTTCCTTTTTGAAAACTAGTAGAAGTCACATAGTCACAATTTCCTGGTCAAACCAAGTGAAATATCTTGGGTTAGTACTTGACCAAATTAACTTTTAAAGATCATATTGAGGGCATTCAAGCCAAATCTAACAAATATATACAATGTTTGTATCCTCTTATAAACAGGAAATCCATACTTTGCCTGACGAATAAACTTCTAATATTTAAAGAAATTTTTAGAACCGCCATGCTTTACGCTGTGCCAATATGGTCTAGTTGTTGCACTACCAGGAAAAAAGCACTTCAAAGGATTCAGAACAAAGTTCTAAAGATGATTTTGTAGTTACAGTACAGTACTACCGAAGTACATAGAATTTCGAATGTTGAGACTTTAGAACAAATGTCCAACAAAATAATTAACAATTTCAGGCAAAAATCGTTGCAATCTTCAATTGCAATGATTACTTCCCTTTATACTTAGATAAGATTGAGTGTTAGTTTTATGTTTTAAGATGTAAATTGTTATACTGACTTGCAGGTTAAAAAAACCTGTTTAAAATACTGAATTGCCAAGAAAAATGTAAAAACACTTAGATATATATTATACCAATTTGGAGGCGAACCAGCCTAAGGCTGAAAGCCTCCTAAATAAAGCTAAATAATAATAATAATATTATACCAATTAAGGCTGGTAAGTTACTGTAGTAACTTGAGTACCTAGGTTAAAATGAAATGTAATTCATTTTGAATTTGGAACAAATAAAGAGTTAAAAAAAGCGAAGAGGTGAGCGATGCGTTGATACGAATGCAAGGAATAATATCATAAATGGAAATTCCCAGAATTGATATTATTCCTTACATTTATTTTAACGCTTCATTCGCCTCTCCGCTCCTCTTCGCTCTCACTATGCATTGGCCTAACTATAAGTCACCAAATAAAATTATCAAAAGTAAGAATATTGATGTAAATATTAGATTTTTAAGCGTAACTGCTGTTGAGATATCGCAATGTCAAAATTACATGTATTTGCTGAATCACCAACGGCAAAATTGACTTTATTTTTTCGTTTTGCTTTGACTACATTTGTTAAACGTTATATTTTTACATAAATTCAATGAATATGTTTCAATCATAATTAAACTGGTAACAGTTTAAAAAATGGCAGTTTAAAATATTGAGATGTCGTTAAGATACAGATGATTAGATGCAGATCGATTGATTCACCCTGTTCATTAATTTGCTTGTTTAAAATTGCATAGGGAAAATGCCTAAATGCCCCTAATGCCTAAATTAAGCAACTGTTAATAGCGACCAAACATATCCATCACAGCAAAAAAATAATTTTGATATCACGTCAAAGTGGATGCACTACAATCATGTCGAAAATATGGTGTAATATTACTTGCTAAAAAGGACAAAATTATCATTAATACAATGCATGACCTGACATTACGCTGCTTTTACTGCATTTGTTTATTTATGTGGTCATAAAAATTGCATGAAATTTTCGACATCCACTTTGATGTGATATCAAAATTATTTTTTTGCTGTGATTAGTACTGTCCCAATGACGCGTTCCTCTAGATAAAATTGATAAATAGCAGATTTTTAGCGATGGGCCAAATCTTAGATCCATAGGCCAACATTAGAGCCATTTCCCCTGTATGCAGAGTAGTTGGAAAAGGTGTTTTCCGATGGAATGTACCGGTAAATCACTCAATTTTTTATACAAAATTTAATTAATCCATTAGTGGTGCACTCAGGGGAAAGGGTCTGTTAATTTGATCCTATATTTAAATTAACTTCGTCCAAAACAATTTTTATTTGTTTTTTGGTCTGATTTAATAATAAAAACTACGTCTTAAACGTGAAAGAAAACATGAGTGATTGATTGAGTTAACTCAAATATGGTTGAACAATGTTATTCGGTGCTTGTCTTTTAAAAGCACAAGACCGAAAAAAAATCATCTCTTTACTCACTGCACTATATGTCGAGTAAAAGCAGCATCCTCAACACATCACGACAGCGACGTCGTCGTCCGTCGGCAGTGCTGCTGTTGTTGTTTGTTTGGTTATGTTTTTTTTTTGGGAAACAATCAGTCAGTCAACCAGCCAGCCAGCCAGCCCAGTCAGCAGCAGTCTGGAGCCAGTCAGATGATGACTAGCCGGTCCTGAAGGCGCGTGAATCTCCACCAAACCAATCTCCACGAGGTGAAGCGCTCTGAGCCGACCTTCGAATTGCGGAGAGGGTTGCTGCAGCGAAAAACAAAAGCAAAAATGCTGTGTTTACTTGAAGGAAAAGAGCGGGTTCTGTCGCCGTCGTCGTCTTGAGGGGTGACTCCATCCAGACAGCAAGACAATACCGATCGGCGCTTCGCGACGACTGCGAGGCAAGTAGGCAAGAATGATTAACATTTTAGCAATAAATCAAACATGTCAAAACGAAATACAAGTTCATTTAATCGACGAATGATGTTGTGATCGGCTGCTTTCTGCAGTATGGTGCATTATGGAAAACATGTCCAATTTCAAATATTTCACAACAGGCTTTTCCCGAATTAAAACAGAACATCAGCGTAGTTTCTCACTGCCCAACCGATAGCTGAGTGTGGAGCCGTCTGGAAGGTTGGCAAAAACAATCTCCGTGATCATTTCCGGGGGCAGGTCTGCCCCGGCTCCGACCAATTGATTCTTGAGCTGGTCAACGTCGTCTGCCGAGTGTTGATCCGTCTGGAGTATTTCGTACGTTTTTGCACTATCATCGAACTCGTTCACTTTGACGATGGCCCATCTGGTACGAATCAGCTTGGGTCGCCGGGAGGGTGCTTTCGGAGGCGGAGTGGACAAGGATCGCAGGGTGGTGGGACGTGACGCTCTGGGGGAGTGGCGTCCACGTGGTGGCGATGAGGGATTGGTTTTCGTCTCAAATATATAGCTGTTGGCGAGTTCTTTTTTCAACTTCTCTAGAACTGGGAAAGCGAAAGTTTGATGAAGTGTTTCGTAATTGCGCGTCTAGCGATTTGGAGAGTTACTTTTGCTACTTCCGGTAGACGAGGACTTTGTTTTCCTGCTTTGCTCGGATGATGAGAAAAGTTTGTTGCTGCGGGATGATTTCGATGGCTCTTTGGAGGACAGCGACGAATTTATTGATCTGGAAATGCAAATGAAATGAAAGAAATGCTTGTAATAGGTATGTTAGAATTTTAATTAGTGTATACATGCATTGGGCGTTGTGGCTCTTGGCGGACACACTGGTAGGTATGCTAGCAATAGGAAAGCATTTATAAGAAATCATATGATGAGATTGTTTCATAAGTTCAGCATATTTATATTTTTGTGTAAAAATGTCTCCGTTCCCTCTTGAAAAAAAAAAATAATAAAGTTTGATTTTTCGGTATTGATTTTCAACTTATTTGCAGAAAACCATTTTGGAATAATATTCTCGTCGCTAAGCGTCCGCACTTCTATTTACGTTTATCTGCTGCTTGCTATTTTATGCATTCCAGAACTGTCCAAAACGGGTTGACCACGGTTTTAAAATGCTCCAAACTTGTCGGAAGCCTCTTTTCTTCGGTATTTCCATTTGAACTGCGTGTTAACCAGCTGTTCTGTTATCGGAAACTCAAAATCAGCCGTATTTTGTAGTGCGTGTATTTCAATTGAAAAAAAAAAAAAAACTAGCATAAAAGGTTTGCTCAGTTATAAAAATGTAATCAGATTGAAGTTAACATACTAAGAAATCATTCAAAAACATTCAACGATGTATTTTGGTGAGAAAATTCAGCAAAATTACCGTTTAAATTTGGTTGTCAGGTAAGCCATCCAATCAGTCAGCTCAACAATTCTAACCACCAACATCATCGTCGTTCCCACGCAATGCCTGCGCTAGGCGAGATACTTTTTCCAACCAACTCAGCACGCTTACAACTTCATCATCATCGAGTTCAACCCGAATCCTGGTACGTGACAATTAAACGGAGGACATCGCGGCAACATGAACTGTTCCCAGAATATCGTTGTTAGTTTACTTCCAAAGTGATTAGTAGGTACTAAAGGATCAGTCATATGAAATTTGTAGTTGATGAATATAAGTGTTAAATCAGAACAAAACATTTTTTTAACTCTTTGATGACAATCTAAACATAAAGGGCTGAACTCAATGATAGCAGCATAGCGGCAAAGTGGCAATCGCAAATTTTCCAATACACTGAAATCCGTTTGACAACCTAATTTTCTTGAATTGTAAGCGAATCTTACATCCCCCGGTTGAGTGTACTGAATACCACGTTGGCCAGATCCGAACATGTTCCGGATACCCCCGGAGAAGTGAAACTTGAATCTACATCCTCATATGACACACCAAACTATATGAGAATTCAAAATAAGAACATTGGTGACCACATTAGGTACTCAGGACCACACTGGCCATACATGTTCCGGGTGCTCCCGGGGAGTTTCATAAATTACCCTAAATTTTCCTGAGGCCAATGGAACTTCTCTGGAGTTCTCGGAACTTCCCTGAAATTCTTTTCAGAACTACTGTGAACCTCTGTGAAGCTCTCTTCAAAATTACTTTGAAATTCTTCTCAGAACTACTCGGAAGCTCTCCTAAGCGGTACAGCGGTTTGTACGATTTTAGTACATTGCACGTTTGCCACTGTGCCGCTGTCATTGTGTTCAGTCCTTAATTGTATATTTTTCCTAGAAAGACTTCATTTTTCTCTACAAATTTTGTCCCAGACGTCATTCGATCAGAAGTAACGTTTTGCTGCTATTAATTAAAAAATATCAAAGACAAATACAAATCGGAGATGGTCAAGTCAAAAATTTATTTTCTTTGTATTTGAAGATTGTACACTCCAAATAATCGACATATTATTGCCATAGAGGTAACTCTAAGACTAGAAGGTCTCGAAGAAACGTGCTCAACTTTTTGGCTCAGCTCTGGTACTCTCTTCGGTCCCAAGCTAATCGATGCACCCCTCGAAACATAGGAAAATCCATGAACCCCTTATTTTATCTGTCAAACTTTCATAGCGAATCAAAACAAACATATTGTAGTACTAGAATTTAGACTAGAATGGGGTATGTTAATCGATTTGCTTGGGACCAATTAGGCTAGTCAAGTAGTGAGCCAATTTAAAATCGTTGGTTTCCACCGGTTGTTATTGTTACGTGAAAAATCACGTGGAGTCTCTCTTTTCGCTTTTATGTCAAATTTACGTGACACAAGTAGAGTCTATGTGATACCACATACGTATCAACGGGAAGTCCCTTTAAAGTCACTGGGTATTTAATGTAACGCACGTGATTTGTTCATACACAAATTCTATGTGCATTTCACGTAAAACCTGAGTGATTTTCACATCTGATAAAATAGATGAGTGCCTCACTCATAATGGTACACAATATGGTGGAATTGCAATGTGCATGTTTACACGCCAGTTAAAATCTTGGGGCTTATTTTCGTGAGACAATTTCGTGTTGTAAGTATAATGGCTGAACATTTTATCATAGACAAATTTTATGGTGAGAATAATATGTAACATGTTTCTTTATTTTAGTCTGACGACAAGGAGTACCATGGATTGAACTGCGAGTTAAATGGCCCTTTTCATATGTGTCCCATATCCTCCCTGAGTCCAGCTTCACTCGAGTTAATTTCTTCTTCTGTGTGTAGGTATATTTGCCACAATAAAGATACAATGGTCAAGGAATACTGTAGGATCTTTTTTCATTTGAAATCAAGAATACATTTGATTTAAACCGGAATAAAAATCATTGAAAACCATCTATGCATGTTTTCACGTAGCTTTGACGTTAAAATTATTATGAGTGTACAACTACCCAAAATCGTCCATGCACAGGTCAATAGTATTTACGGTTTTTGACAAAACTCAGGTTATCATGGCAGCGGTCAATCTCTTTTTTTTTATAACTTCTGTTGTCAATAATTAAATGTTACCTTGGATTTATCAAGTAACGTAAATATTTGCACTGAATCAAAAAAATACAAATTCCAAACTCACCGCTTCTTACCAGATATCCTATCTTGTTTGGAAGATTCCTTCGAAATCTTCTCTTCCGTCGATGTACTGGATACATTGTCCTGAGGTGTATTGTTACTTTTCGTTGAACTAGCAGTGGACTCCCTTTTCAAAACATCCAAATTCTTCTGGTCCTCGACACCGACCAAAGACCTAACGGGAGAACTTTCTTCACCGTGCAAACTTACGTCACGGCACGATTCAAACATATTCAAATCACTGACCGATCGCTTCAGACTCATTCGATCTAAAACTTCCTGCCGCGATTGACGTTCTAGGTACCCGTCGCGATTGACCCCAAAGAGATCCATCAAACAATCGACGCCATACAGGAGACTTTCATCCAGGGTTGGACCGAAGAACTGGCGCCTCAAATCCGTGAGACTTATTTTGTCCTGTCGATTATCAAGGTGGTGATTACAGCAGTAATTACAAGAAACGCTAGATTCTACTGTTTTACTTACCATATTGATTGCGATTTTGCTGAAATTTGGATCAGTTTCAAAATATACCAAAGAAATGGAATGCGAAAGATGGATGCAATTGTTTTCCCTCGGTTACTTCGATCGTAAGAATCGAGGTCCGTGGATTGGACCGTGGGTGGAAGGGGAAGCGGAGCTGGTATAAATAAATAAAATAAAGCTCAAATCGTTTGGAACTAATCCCGATGGGGACGACGGCAACGATGCACTTGAAAATTTCAAGTTGCGGTGGAGGAAACATAAAACAAACCGGAAACGGAAAGTTCTGCCAAACAGCAGTCAGTCAGCTACAGTGATGGTGTTTGTAAATGTACGATATGGGGAAAGGGAAAATTCAATAATTACGTAAGCAGACAATTTTTGTGATTTTTCAACCCCCCCTCTACCAATTACCCTCAGTGAGATCTTACATGTGTTCTGCATTTGATCCGTCTATACTTACGGTATATATTTATTAGATCCTATCTCTTCCATGTACGAAATTGTAGCCAATTCAAACACCCTTCCCCCCTAAATACTTTCATGATTATTGAATGTTCCCTTAAAAGCGATGCAAACTCTCTAGGACGGAAGACGACAGAACTGAGCTTGTCGATTTCAGTGGATATGCAATGCATGTAGTTTTCAAGGACTGCCACACCGGATGCGGTTTATGAAGTATGGAATCCAATATTGAATGATTAGTTTTGATGGCGTGCCAAACTCAATAAGTACCTATTACGTCTTTTCATGGTCTGATGCAGTACGTAGGTAAATACTTCGTTAGGAATATAGCTGATATCACGTCTTATAGGCGAACATAATTGCTAAAATTCGGCAATTTAGGATCTTGTAATTTTTTTCGAAATGAGGTTTTTGACATTTTTCAATATTCTGCACGATGATCGAAAATTACCCAATAATGAATAAAAAGTAAGCATTTTCGAGCGAAACTGGAGCTACCCATTATATGAGAAAATTTTTATCCATTTATGAGTAATTATAACTACAAAAATGAGTAGTAACCCAGATAAAAATAATCATAAAATTACAATACAAAATCCATAAAATACAATAGATTATATTGTTGACTCTTAATACTACCTTAATTGTATTGTATTGGTCAAATGATCATATAGTCACCACAATAGGCTTACAATAAATTCTATGTTATTAAAATATTTAACAATAAAAACAATAAAATTTGTTGTAATGAGATCAATCTTGTTTGAGAAAAAAAATGGATTTTTTTTTATGGTTACGGTAACTAACAACCCCCATAGAAATAAGTTCTACTGTATTTTTATTGTTTTGGACTAAAAGATATATGGTTGCTACAATAATTGTTATTGCATTGTAACAATAGTAACAAATACTCATAAATGAGTAAAAAATTTACTCATTCAATTGGTAGTCGCTGTTTTCTTCGAAAATGATTCCTTTATAGTCAATATTGAGTTTTTTGATTCATTATTGGGTATTTTACGGTGATGTTGCACGTAAACATCACTTTTGATCGCAATCACGCAAAGTTCTAGAGAAAAATAATGTCTGTTTGAAAAAAAAACATACATCGTAGTGTTTTTTTTAGTAAAAAATCCAAACAATTGGTAAAAACTCAAATATTTCAAAATGTCCAAGTTAAACTTTTAATTTTTTGCTAAGCAAATGAAAACATTCAAGTTTTTGGAATGTTTAAAACTATGGACACTTAAAAAATGGCAATAATCGAAAAACAAGAAATTTAGGTAAAAGTTTTGAACTTATTGCTCGTACTTTTTTTAAACACTTTTGACACAGAAAACAATGTATAAGTTATATACAGTTTAATAAAGGGTGATACGGTCAAAATTTGGTCAAGGGAAAACGCGTGTAAATCGGTGAAATCGTTTATTTAAAAAATCAAATTAAATTTCTTTTTCAAGTTCAATTAGTATAAAATTCAGGAAAAATATTCAGTTAGGCTTCCGCTTTTCCAAATCCGAATTGCCGGGCCTTACGCTTGACCCCTGCCATCAGATTTTGTACAGCCACCTTGTCCACCTTCTTCGCCGCAGAAAGCCAGTTTGCCTTGAACTGCTGCTCGCCCTTGTTTTTTTGGTCTTCTTTAGGTTCCGCTTGACAATAGCCCAGTATTTCTCAATTGGGCGGAGCTCTGGCGTGTTGGGAGGGTTCTTGTCCTTGGGAACCACCTGCACGTTGTTGGCGGCGTACCACTCCATGGCCTTTTTACCGTAATGGCAAGATGCCAAATCCGGCCAAAACAGTACGGAACAACCGTGTTTCTTCAGGAAAGGCAGCAGACGTTTATTCAAACACTCTTTCACGTAAATTTCTTGGTTGACAGTCCCGGAAGCTATGAAAATGCTGCTTTTCAAGCCACAGGTACAGATGGCTTGCCAAACCAGATATTTCTTTGCGAATTTTGACAGTTTCATGTGCTTGAAAACATCTGCTACCTTTCCCCTTCCTTTTGCCGTATAAAACTCCTGTCCCGGAAGCTGCTTGTAGTCGGCTTTGACGTAGGTTTCGTCGTCCATTACCACGCAGTCAAACTTCGTCAGCATCGTCGTGTACAGCCTCCGGGATCGCGCTTTGGCCGTCGTATTTTGTTTATCATCGCGATTTGGAGTCACTACTTTCTTGTAAGTCGATAGTCCGGCTCGTTTTTTGGCTCGATGCACGGTTGTAGACGATACACCCAGCTTATTTGCGGCATCTCGGAGAGAGAGGTTAGGGTTTCGCTTGAAACTACCGGCAACTCTCTTTGTCGTCTCAGCGGCTTCCGGTTTTCGATTTCCCCCCGATCCAGACTTCCTGGCTGTCGACAAACGTTCCCCAAACACTTTAATTACATTTGTAACGGTTGATTTGGCAACTTTTAGCGATTTTGCCAACTTTGCGTGCGAGTAGCTCGGATTTTCGCGATGCGCGAGCAAAATTTTGATACGCTGCTCTTCTTGCTTGGACGGCATTTTGACAACTGAAGAGTGAATTCTAAAATCAAAATAGGAGCAACATTCTACACACACACACCTTCAAAATGAGGGGTGTTCAGGTTTTTTAAATGCAAAATTGAAAGAAATACGTCAAGTTGATATTGACCAAATTTTGACCGTATCACCCTTTATCCTTTGATGAAATAACATTAAAAAGCGTACCAACAAAAAGTTGAAAACTTTGACTAAAAGTTCTTGTTTTACGATTTTTGTCAATTTTAAGTGTCCATAGTTTTGAACATTCCAAAAACTTTAATTTTTCTTGCGCTTAACAAAAAAAAAAAAGTTTAAATTGGACATCTTGAAATATTGGAGTTTCTAACACCTGTTTGGAATTTTCACTTAAGGCCTTCCTGCAAGACCGAAAAAAAGCGAAAGTTTGGATTTTTTTCTCGAAAACGACGCAACATATTGAAAATCAGTTTCCTGCCGTTTATTGAACACACATTAAATGGTACATTTATCAGTCGATGCTGTAAAAACGAGGTCCTGGTGCCCCGCACGGCTGCTCCCCGTGGACGATGTTCTAAAAAACGCTTTTTGCGGTGCCAATTGCGGTTTGTGATGTAATCATCTGAAATTAAAAAAAAAAAACATGCCAAATCGTTAAGCATGTGTTAAACTAATCCTTGATCGTTCAGTTTTTTTTTTAATTTTTTTGACAAAATGGCGGCCTTGCAAAGTTTTTTGCTCCTTAAAATTTGTCTTTGATCGGCTGTAAAAAATCGAAATTAAATGATAGACGAAATCCGAACGATCGTGGACTGCACAAAATAGTACTGAACAGAAATCAAAATGAATCGGACGAATCGAATGTATACATTTCGAGAAATTTTTGGCACCAGTTTTGAAAATATGATTCCGAGATAATCGCGTTTAAATTTTCAAGTTGGGTTTAGTCCACTATAAGTGAATATTTTTGTACGTCGCATAACTTTCACAATTTTCATCGGATCAACTTGATCTTTTGAGGAAATATTCTTGACTTTATATACTTTCGATTAGGACAATAAAAAAAAAATCGATTTTTCGAAAGTTTGCAGGTAGGCGTAACCCCTTAAAAACACAAAAAAACACCCTCCCCTTGGCTTGTTTTTTGCACCTTGCTGTTGGTGGGCGGGCTTAATTTCATGCTTTATAGTGGAGTGTTGGAGACGGTAGGTTTATGGTCGGCGTTGCTGGCTCATGCCGGGATAGAATGGCGTCATGGACAGGCAATGGGGATTACTAAGCTTCCCCTCTCTGATAAACCACTGCATGAGAGAACCAAAGATTTAGTCCAGCAGTGATAGTATCACACTTGTTACTCTTTTAATTGAGAGCCGCGTCGTAGTACGCTTACGTATAGGCACTAACGTTGGGTGTGATACAGGCGGGTTTTGCCGCAAATCACTCTTATTTTATTTATTTTTACGCAGATAGATTTATTTGGGTTTGCAAGGGGATTATACTATTGAAATATTTCAGAAAGTGCCCAACGGTGCTCCTTCTACTTGCGTGACAAGCTTTCATTGTTGTTTTCATTGAAGTATTACTTAGGAAACAATGTTAAACATCATTTTTGTACATGGTATTGTAACTAATCTTATTTGTGCTTCATTTTGATTTGTTTTAAGTGTTTGAACTATGGCTCAGGATTTCCACTGTGGCGTGCTTCTATTGTGACATACCCATACGTATTTTTGTGGTGCGACAAGGTGGAAGCGTGTGAGCATAGTTGGAGCATACACACTATATAATTTAAAAATCAGCCAGGAAACTAACTTCAAAATGAAGCATTTTAGTCACATGAAGGTGTTACCTGGGTCGAACTAAGATATAATAAATAGGTATAGACTTAAATCAAAAGTACTTGAAACACGTTTAATTTTAGATTACAAGCACAAGTGCAGGTACTTAAAAAAGCATGGGTTATGATTGATTAGGTGAATACAAGCTTTTAATAATTTATTAAATTAGACTAATGAGATGTCATAATCATCAAATAAACTTAAATAAGAAACTTCAGAAAGTTTAATGACATTAAGTAGATTAACAAAAAAAT